GCCTGACAGATGACTCAGCAGTTAAGGACCCACCTTTGGTTCCCGAGCAGCCACAAGGTGGTTCACACCTGTCTGTGAACTCCAGTTCCAGGGGATCTGTTGCCCTCTTCTGGCCTCCACAAGCACTGCACGCATGTGGTGCACTTACAAACATGCAAGCAAAACACGCATACACATAAAATTAAAATTTTAAATTTAAAAAGATCCTGTCTCATAAAAACAAGGCAGGGCCGGTGAATGAAATAGTTCAGTGAGTACAGGCACTAGCCAAGCCTGAAGACCTGAGTTTGATTGCAGGACCCACATGGTGGGAGAATAGAACAAACTCCTACATGTTGTCCTCTGACCTACACATGGGTGCTGTGACATATGCACATACACACACACACACACACACAAATAAATAAATAAATAAATGTGATAAAAACAAGGTAGGTGGCACCTGAGAAACACAGTTTGTACCTGGTGCCTTGGGTGACCATTGGTAGTAATGTGAACTGAAGCTGTGCACTCTGTGGGCGGGTAGAGCCCACACAAAAATGCACACACAGAGAGAAAGAAAGAAGGAAGAGAAGGGAAGGAGGGAGGGAAGAGAGGGAAGGATGGAGGGAGGGAAGGAGGAAAGGAGGGAGGGAGGGAGGGAAGGAAGGAAGGAAGGAAGGAAGGAAGGATGGAAGGAAGGAAGGAAGGAAGGAAGGAAGGAAGGGGGAAGGGGAGAAGGAGGGAAGGAAGGCAGGAAGGAAGGCAGACGAGGAGGACCAGAAATGTTACAGCCTCCACTCAGGGAGATGAGGCAGCTTGCACAGTACCATGGCAGTTTCCCAAGATCTCAGGAGTACATGACAGAGAAGGGAACCTGGTCTAGTACCATCCCCCTCATGTTCCTAAGGCAGGAACTGCTGGTTCCAGACAGGTTTAGTCCTTGGGAAGTTTTCTTTCTGTATCTCTAAATGGACCCAACCCAAATGGTAAAGGATACAAAATTTGCCTCCTCCAGTGCCCACTGCTCCCAGCTCTACTCACCCACAGAGCCCACAGCTTCAGCTCACGTTACTACCAATGGGCACCCAAGGCACCAGGCACCAGTGATCTTGTTTCCATCCAGTTCAGACAACCTAGTACATGACATCTTCCATATCTACTTTTCAAAGGTAGCATGCTGACCTTCAATCTCTAGTTCCCAGGAGACTAAGACTCCATCCCAGAACATCTTGAGCATGCTATTGGGAGCAGGATTTGGTTGCTAGTGTGTCATTACTGGAGCCAGTGAATATAGAAGAAAAATTAATTCAGGCAAGAAGTCAGTTTCCAAAGTCATAATACCAAACTACAGCAAAACCAGTGTGAAAAGTGACTCAAAGCTAATGTGATGATATCAAAGCCAAGAGGTCTGATCTCTCCTTCAAATGGAGTCTGTCCCAATAGGATGCAGGAGAGCAACCAGGAGCCATGATGTGAGACAGAAAGACTAGTGAAAAGTGGTGGAGATAAGCCAAGCCAGTGTAGTGGTGCACACCTATGATCTCTACACTTAGGAGGCTGAGGCAGGAGGATTGAGAGCTTAAGACCAGCCAGGGCTGCACAGCAAGTTCCAGGCCACTCTGGGATATATAATAAGACCCTGTTTCAAAAACAAACCTGAGCCAAGATTATTATGCACACTCCCAATACTTCACTGTATATTCTAACCAGAGGTTCAAGAACAACACGATAAGGTAATTGAAAGTCAATTAAAAAGTGACTTCAAAAGAAAAAATAAATCAAGCAGGGTATGGTGGTGAACACCTGTAATCCCAGCACTTGGAAAATGGAGGCAGGAGGATCAGGAGTTCAAGGTCATCCTTGGCCACATAGTGAGTTGCAGACCAGCCTGAGCTACGTGAGACCCTATCTTTTTAAAAAAACTGATGGGAAAAAAAAACTGATGTAAATAAAGGATTTCTATGAGGAAAGCTTTTGAATGGAGTAGACATATGCTTGAGCTGCATCCCTGCCACTGGCTGCTGATTTGTAGTTGACTTCAAACAGTCTGATTTCCTTTCCTTTCTGGAAGAGAGATTTCAATGCCTTCCTGGTTCTAGTTAAAGTTTATCACAGACCATAGGACAGAGTGGTTGTCCCCAAATTTATACCTTCAGTGCAATCACCAAGAGCCTCAGAAAAAGTACAGAAGCATGCCTCCCACCTACTAACGTCCCTCAAAGAATGTTCCTGCCATGTAGCCTGGGCTTGGAAATTCTAGTGTTCAGACAAGTTTGAGAACTCCCGACTTAGAGCGTGCGCCGACTGAGCAGTAAATAATTACTACACTGATGAAAGCATTTGGTGCCTGGTACCTGCAAGGTCTTTCCAGGCTCTTCCTGGACCACCATCTTCTATCTTTCATTGGATGTCTGACAGGGAGGCTGTCATCAGCTAGATGCCAGGCCAATAGGGGTATGTAAAAAGCTGGGGACCACGGGCCGTCGCAGGATACAGAAAAAGAAGAAAGGCAAAGTTAAGTCCCCCTACGGGGCAGCCTACAGAGATCCAGTTCAGGGAAGGTCTAATCAGCTTGTTTGAGTCTACTGTTTAGTAAAGCCCCTGGATGCTAATTGCAGAGTAACCTTGGAAACCAGAGCCTGGTATCCTGGATGCAGAAATGAGCCCAGACCTAGAAAGGGCACGTCCACAGCGGGTTCAAGGGACCCAGGCGCCCTTGATTTGGGAGCTTTCGTGTTCCACATTTGTTGTAGTAAAGCCTTTGTCTGCTGTTGCTGGCCAACCATCTGAATGTATCAAAGGCCCAAAAGTTGGTATGTGACATGTATGTTTCCATGTCCTTTCCTGGCTCTTGGAGAGGACTCTGGAGTCAAGAATGAATGAACCAGTCTCTCTACGATGTGAAAGCCAGTATCCTGTTCCTTTACCACAAAGCTGGAAACCTACAAAGCTACAGCAGTTCAGATGTTGGGGGAGGGGTCTGCCCTGTCACCAGCTGCATGACTTATGATATGCTTATGAGAATAATTAATATTTGTGGCTCTGTGTCTATAACCAAGGCCTGAGATATCATTTGCTGTGCAAAGCTGGTATTTTATGTTCTTTATGATTCTGAGCAAATCTCAGAAACAGGATAGAAAACATTTAGGATACTGGGGAGAAAAATTGGTTGCTCTCAAGAACTGTGAAATCGTTTTCTACTTGACCCCAGAATCCTGATGGAGTCAGGCTGTTCTTTCTTAGGGGAAAAAAATTGAAAATTATATCTCCAGGAGATGGAACTTTCAGTCTGCTGAAGTTTAAAGACACGCATTCTGAATAAGACAAGAATCTTTTCTATTTGCAGTGACTCTACACTGAATAGAGATTATATAAGTGCTTGAAAATAGCTTGTTTTAAAAGATGACTGTAGATTAAAACTTCTTGACTTTGACACCTCATAATACTGAGTTGTTTATGAAAATAAGCTTATGCTTTGCTCCTTAATAGGCATCACTTATGCAGTGTTTCAACTTTTGTATTTGGTATTGAAAACACATGAACTGTGCCCTATTCTGTCACTCCCAATTTCATAAAGCGTTTTTTTTAATTCTTTCCTGGTGCAGGGTCTCACAATGTAGCCGTAGCTTGATTCCATATAACCCAAGCTTTTCTCAAAGTAAGCATGCTCCTGCCACAGCCCCTGAGCGATGGAATTCTTGGCATGTCCTATCATGCCTGGCTCTGGCTTTTTAAAACTGAATTGGCTTCTAATTCCTTTTTATGGATGTGCAGGTTACTTCAGTATTTAAAAGTATAATGCTGTATATATCCTCAGTTTGCAGTATATATGTATTTCTGTCCAACGGGTCTGAAGTACTGAGAGTGTGGGGTCTATATTAGTTACTTTTCCCATTGCTGTGACCAACTACCTGACAAGAAGCAACTTCAGGAAGGATGGGGTTTTTTAGCCCGCAGTGTGAGGGTAGAGCCCATCATGGTGGGGAAGGCATGGCAGCTGGAGTGGGAGGCAGCTGGTCACACTGTGCCCACAGTCAGGAAGCAGGTAGAGATGAATGCTGGTACTCAGCACCCTTTCTTCTTTTCATTAAGTCCAGATCTAAGCCCATGGGGTGGGCACTGCCTCCGCTCAGAGTGGGTGTTGCCACCTTAGCTAAACCTTTTGGGTAACATCCTCAAAGACACACCCAGCTATGTATTTCCATGGCGATTCTACATCCATCAATGGATCTACTTTACAGGGTCCTTTCCATACACTGATAGGAGTCCTCTTTTCTAGTGCTTTGTTCTGCCATTTGCATTTGTTAGACCTTCATGCTGCAAACAGGTAATACATCACCCAGCAGAGACAGTGAGAATGCACAGAGACCTTGCTCAGAAAGGATCTGATTTCTGTTGGCCTACTGACCATTCACATTAGACTATGATGAGCAATCAGATGGGTCCTAGATACTCTTCACCTTCAGATCTGACAGTCACCTAAGTAACAGGTGGCCTTTGTTTTGGGGTCAGCTTGAAGCATACATAGGTGGGAAACCAGTTCCAGAGAATTTCAGTGCCTCTCTCTTTAGTTGTTCAAAAATGCTCAAATATGTCTAATAACTGTTGATTTTTCTCTCTCGTTCTCTCAAGCTCATTAGTTTCCACTATTCAGGAAAAAAGTTAATTTTCCTAGCCATTGGAACAACTGTTTTCTCATGATTCTAACTGATCAAAGTCCAGTTTTATTCTAATCCTGAGCCTTAGATGTGAACTTGGGGCCATGGCTGTTCACTGCTGACTTGGCAGTAGGGTTTTTGAGCATGCAGGACCCACCCGTCAGGCTGTACATTCTTTAGATGGCTCCTGCCATGATCCATGGCCTCTCAAACAGACCCACAAAGCATGAGTGTGCCTCTGGGACCCCTTGGGGAGTCTTAAACATCCATCTCCTATTGGCAGCAGATTCTGAGGTACCCTGGCAGATTCCCAGCCTGAGCCTGAGTCTCAACACAGCTCCCCTCGTCTGTCTCCCACAGGGTCCTGTGGCATCCACAGTGTCAGCGCTTTCTGTCCTCTCCTCTGGACCTGGTCTTCCACCACCCCCTCCACCACCACCCCCCCCAGGGCCACCTCCACTTTTCGAGAATGAAGGCAGAAACGAGGAGTCCTCGCCCTCTCGCTCAGCTCTGTTTGCCCAACTTAACCAGGGAGAAGCGATCACAAAGGGTAAGACAACGCATCCTTGGAGCAGGCTTCCTTTCCCTCCGACTCTGGGCACATGGGTCCTCCAGGGCCCCAGTGATATGTGCATCATCCCTTCTCCAGCTCCTACACAGAGGAAGAGGAAGCTGCTGCTGGAAGGTAGGAAGTTGGGACAGCTCTGGGCACACATCCCATGGACTGCCATGTGGAAAAACTCAGAGATTCTGTGTTCCCAGTCAACCAATGACCTGTACCCACTCAGCCCCCATGCTTCCTCACCATCCTCCAAAACCGAGGCCTCATATCAAGTGGACTAAAAATGGCCAACAGCAGAACTGTCCTGACAGAGTATTGGCTTGTTGAAGTTCCATCACTGAACTGCCTTGGTCCTCATATGGCAAATGGGTAATATTTTATGTTATGTTTAAAGTATATCAGAATCAAAAGCTCATGTGTTCTCAACAATATAGTCATGTTGCCAAAAGGCAAATGTATTTTTGCTTTGCACAGCTAATTGCAAGGAGGGTGTGGGTGCCGCTCTCCATAGAGCTGAGAGCTAAGAACTCAATTTTTCAAATTTATCTCTAGCTTATGCTCCACTGTCCCAATTTGAAACTCAATTGCAAAGTAAAGAAATGGACTGAGAATACTAAGGTGGATTCCGTGTTCTGAACAGTGCTCACTGGAATGTCCTGACCTTTTATGCTATGTCTAACAAATGATTTAGCCATATGATAAACCATGAAATCTTTTGAGGTGAGGTGATTTAAGAATTGGTAGAGCTTTTTAAACTTCTTTTTTTTTAATTTTATCTGTATGCGTGTATTGCCTGCACGTAGGTAAGTGCACCCATGTCATGCAATGCCCACGGAGATCAGAAGAGGCTGTCAGATCCCCTGGGACTGGAGTTATGGGCAGTTGTTAGCTGCCATGTGGGTGCTGGGATTCAAACCTGGGTCTTCTGCAAGAACAACCAGTATTCTTAACCTCTGAGCCATCTCTCCAGCCCCTGGTAGAGCTTTTTGATTGTCTGTTTTTTGCAGAATTTTTATTACTCCATCACCTTAAAGATAGGGTTCCTCACTGTATAAGCTACTTGTCTCATTTCTGTGGCAAAATACTTCACATAAGCGACTCAAGGAAGGAAGGATCTATTTCGGTTCACAGTTTGAGAGGAGACAGTCCGCCATGGAGGGAAAGGCCTGGCCACAGATAGCTCTATGCTTGCAAGAGTGTGGCTCTTGGGTCTCTTCATCTCTTCACATCGTGGTGAAACAGGAAGCAGAGAGTAAACAGGAAGTGGAAGCTGTCAAACTTCAGTGTCCATATCCAGTGATCTCCTTCTAACAAAGACCCACCTCATAAACTTTAGAATGGACCTAATGGTTCCAATCTCCCAAAAGAAAGCCATGAGCTGGGGACCAAGCATCTAAACACAAGCCTGTGGAGGATATGTACATACAAACAGCAATGCTCAACATTTTAAAAACGCATAGTGTTTCTTCCATAGGATGCAGACTCTGGGTATTTCCTTTTGCATGAAATGTAAGAAATGTACCTGCATTGTGTTACCCTCTGTTTTAGTTTCTTTCCTGTTGTGTGATAAAAATACAGTGACAGATGCAACTTTGAGGGAGTAAGAGTTTATTCAGCTTATAGCTCCAGGTTACAGTCCAGTATTGCAAGAATGTCAAAGCAACTAAACACACCCACAGTCAAAAGCAGAGAGTGAATAAATGCTAGATTCGTCCTCAGCTGGCTTTGTCAACTCTCATACAGTCAAAGGCCCCAAACCAGGGACTAGCGCTGCCCACTGTCAGGCTCTGTCTTCCCAAATCAATCAAGCCAGTCAAGACACACCCACAGGCCAGCCTGCTCTGGACAATCTCTTATTGAGAATCTCTTCCCAGGTGATTCTATACTGTGGCAAGTTAACAATTAAAAAACCATTACTCCTCCTAGGGCTCCGGCATGTCACAGATGACCAGAAGACGTACAAGAACCCCAGCCTGCGGGCTCAAGGACAAATTCCATCTCCAACCAAAACCCATACTCCAAGCCCCACATCTCCCAAATCTCATTCTCCTCAGAAACACGCTCCAGTGTTCGAGCTGGAAGGGAAGAAATGGAGGGTGGTGAGTGACATCCTTTAACCTTTGTTCGAGTCTCTCTGACGAACAGTCTAACAGCTAACACCACTTCCCAGAGACTTAGGGATTTCTATGTGAAATGTCAAGAGGCAAAGCACTGACTAGAATAAGGCACTCACAAAGGTGCTCATGAATTGTTTTCACTAACCCTCATGCATTCTTCTTTCACTTTTTAAAATTTTTCTAACATTTTATTTTTTATGCATATGAGTGTATTCCCTACATGTATGTAAGTACACCCATGACATGCAGTGCCCACTGAGGTCAGAAGAGGGCATTGGATCCCCTGGAACTGGCATTACAGACAGTTGTTAGCTGCCATGTGGGTGCTGGGACCCAAACTCAGGTCCTCTGCAACAGCAGCCAGTGCTCTAACCACTTAGCCATGTCTCCAACCCCTAAAACTAATTTTTAATTGTGGTAAAAATGCCCATAACACTCATGTAGACCAGGCTGGCCTCGAACTCACAGAGATCCACCTGCCTCTGCCTCCCAAATGCTGGGATTAAAGGCATGCGTCACCATGCCTGGCTAATGGGAGCACCTTAAGTGGGAAAACCATGATGGAGGGGTGAGACAATGTG